GCTCTGTGTTATAAACTTTATTTTTCTTGAAATTATTTTACCAGAAAATTTTTAATAAATTCTAACATAATAGTAAATGTAATAGAAATAATAATGTGAAAATAAATTTAACAATAATAATAATTTATTATATTACTAATGATTAGAATTCATGTCTTGAAAATATTCTAAATCAGAATTTTAAGCATGTGATGAAAATACGCTACATAAGGAAATGCATTTTAGGGTAAAAAAATTGGTTTACTTTTTATATAAAAAAATTTATTTTCTTAGATTTATTAAATAAGGATTATGCCATTGTTCGCTATCAATTTAGAATAGCTGCATATGATTTCTACATAACCTTTGAATTTCTGTAATTTTATTGTTTAATTTGATCTCTATAATACTGATTGTTTGTATAACAATTTGAATTTTAAAAAACTGAGTACTCTAAATCTTATGTTTATATAAAAACATATTGTGCTTTGAAAAAAGGGGGGGTCTGGGTTGACAATATTAGTGACCTATCCAAATATAAACAATAGTTTGTTTAAAAATATGCTATGTAGATAATGCTACAAAATATCTTTGGACGTAAAATATTCTGCAAAATCATTTTTATTTTTTGCATTTACTACACACAGAAAAGAGTAAAATCTTATATTGTGTGTCATTTGTTAAGCAATTTGAAGTTAAAAATAGCATGTTTCATTCATAATATTTTACAACACTTTAGCATACCTTATATATGTGATACATTATTTTCAAATCTGGAAATGAATTTTTTTGCATGTGAAATGAAGTTGAGTCATAGCTAACAATAAAATGACAGGTACAAATTTGCTGTTATGAAAGGAAAGAAAATCTTTAAGCTTCAGATTAGTATTTTTAAAAATTAAAAAAAACTTTACATATATTATTAATAAATATTTATTAGGAATTATTAATAAAACAAGAATAAAGAAATTCCACATGAATAATCCTCAGTAAAAGTTTATTTGGGAATATAAGATTCAAAATAACTTTTGCAATTCCTTTGAAAATTGTAATGAAGTGCATAAGCCACATTTGATATTATCACTTATGACAAGTATGCCAAATTTCAAAATGTGCCAATATATAAATTCTCATATATCTTCAGAAATTTTGAATACAAGTTCTAGTTTTTTGCAAGAATGCCTAAAAATATATCTGCTGTAAAATGGTGATTAGGTTATTATTAATTTTTTTTTAATAAATATGAATTTTATTTGGATTTAACATGAATTTCAAATTATGAAAGAAAAAATCAAGTAAGTTTAATTTAAAATGTGGTATTGTTAAATATACGTCAGGTTCAGTTAACATTGTGTTGTTAAAATTTTGATGTGCAAAAGTTGACATTTGAGCCTAATTAAAAAGCATGTCATTTCTGAAAAAGTCTGATTTTGTGTTAAAATATGTATCTTAGAACAACACTGCATATAAATCTAATATATATGTTGTGCTACTGAGACATGAAAAATGCAAGTTGAATATCAGCAATTATCCAAGTAGAATGGGAGAACTGTTCTTTTTTAAGAACTGATTGATACTCTTTTTTTAACCACTTGGTTTAAAAAGACATGCCACGCACATCGATACGCTTTTGTCTCAAACCATGAGTGACATGAACACCACGTCAATAGGCATTTATCGCAAAAATGAAAATAACGTGGTGCACACATTGCCTAACAACGAGATTGTTTTGCACTCGAAGAGGCAGAGCGGCGTAAATGAGACACTTTACCGCTTGTTATATTGTAGTGCACGGCACTGCAGCCGTGAAGTTTAGTCGTAACACAAGTGTTTAAAAGGGGTGCTCGATGTACTTTCATTATTGCCTTGATTTTATTCTTCCAATCTCATCTACATACCCTGTGTACAAATGTCAACTTCCACTCATGAGTAATAGTGTGACATGGAACTCCTTATGCTGCATGTAAACAAAAGGAAATGCATATTGCATGATTATATACCATTAGCATTGCTGCCAGCTCTTTTCATTTTATCAGGGAGATTCCCAGTTTTTCATCATATCTCCTGATTTTTAATTTTTACCTTTTACTGAGGGAAATATTTCTTAGCAATAAATGAAATTTATTGAATTGATGACACTTAAATTGTCCAAATTACAGTTTCCACATCCCTAGTGATTTTCAGCATAATTTTTCTTTAAAATTTATTTACCTTGTCCTGATATACTGAAGACATCGGTATAATTTTTTATGAAAAATTCAACCAATGGTTAATCATTTAATATTTGTATATTATTTTTCACCATTAAATGATACAGTTAGGTTTATCCTCATAATAGTATAAACTTAATTATTAATTTTATTATTATTGTATCTAAAAATACTTTGATAAATAAGTTTTTCTTCTGCATTCAGGGTATTCTTAGTGCAGAAGTATACAAAAATTTCAAAATGAGACTAGCCAAAGAACATAAAAAACTTAAAATATGTAATTAATATATTTTTCATATCTCAAAGTTTACAGCTCTACATTAAATTTCTAATATTTCTTGCAAGCGAAAAAAGAATTATAAAAAAAGTAGTTTAATGACTTAGAGAATCGGAAAATATCTCAAGTTATCATTATATGGGCTGATCAGTAAGTGCAGGTATGTATATTATGAACAGAAGACATCTTGTCATCTACTTTAATCCAGTCACAAAGCAATATGAGAGTTATCAGCAGAATATGTTACTTATAAGAATGTGTCCGGCAAATTTTGCTTACGTGTGATGCTCACTCTTACTAATATGCATGGCAAAACGTTTGCAAAGAAATAAAAAGCAACTTGTACAGTTAGACCATGCACAATGAAACAGTTCTTCCCCCCCCCCAGCATCTAGTAGATAAATGAAGTAGAATTTGATTATTGGACTTTGGACAATCCTTCATGAGAATGAGTCACTAGACATCATGTATACTGGTTCATTAATGACTGTTGTGGTATTTGGAAGAACTGCTCTTTGCGACCTCTATTTTAGGAGCATTTAGCTAGATAGCGATATTTCTAGTTTTATAGGAAATAAAAGCTTAGATTAAAAATTAGATGCCGTTTCTCTGACTGTATCACATCCTTTGTAGTTCCAGCATAATGGATCCCGCACATTAGCGATGGTCAATGCATTGTTTTCTGGCAAAAATGTTTTTAGAACTAAACTACGGTAGCATGATCACCAGATTTCACCTGATGGATTTCTTTTTTGAAAGATCAAGCATATATGATACCATCTAATAGCCTCCTAGATCTTTGTCATTGCACCACTCGTGCATTCAGCAGTGTAACATCTAATATATTAATAAAAGTGTATGCAGAAGTACTTTTTAGAATCCAAATACGTATTCAGATGATAACCTATGCAAATATGCTCAACATTACCTTGTAAGGAATGTAAATCTATTTGTATGTTTTGTTTTATAGGTTCATGTCTTCAAGTTGCATATTATGTATTGTTTACCTATTAAATTATATTTTTGTGCTGATTCTATGTCTTTTTTTCTCAAATGATGCAACAAAACATTATTAATTGATTTTGGAGACATTTTAAGCTATATTGTTAACTTATTTATTGTATCTATGTGCACTATATGTCTTTTGATACTAAACTAATGATGCTGTATTACTTGGTATTTGACTTTTTTCTTGTACCTCTCTGGTTTTTTACAGATAAGTTTGCTAAATTCTGTTATGCATTTAGTTTTAGTTTATGAATATAAAAGAAACTACTTTTGTTCAAGTTTTCGTACTTAACAACATTTTCTATTCTTTTTTACTGTATAATTTATAAAAATTTGTTAAAAAATAATCTAAATCTAAGTAAATGTGTATGTAATCTAAATCTAAATAAATGTATGTATGAAAGGCGAGATCGTCTAAAAGTGGTAAAAAGAGGTGCATTGGGCAAAATAGGTTCAGAACCTTTATTTTAGAGTATGGTCCTTTGACTGTAGCTAGATATTATATTTATATTGTTGCTGTCCACCAGTTATTTAAAGATAAACAGAGTTTTCTATTCACTCTGCATAATGTGGCATTTTCTTTGCATTGTTAAAAATATGTGTAACATATTTTTAATGTACCAAAAAGTTTTCAAAAGAAGCATAATTTGGAGAGACTTGACAAAAAGATAAAATGTGCATGCAGAATAAATTATGAAGTTGATTTCACAAAAGGAATATTCTCATATACTATGAAAAAAAATCCTTTAAATAAATATTAAAATTGTGTTTATTTAATCCAAATGTGTATCAAAAAAATTTTATGCATAATTTTGATGAAAAAATGGAAAAAGTTCAAAGCTGCAAATATTTGCAATATTTTATTCCGTATCCCATTACTATATAAGTTAAATGATTTCTTTAAAAGGTGGCTCATGGTTAAGAATTTGAATTCTCAGAATATGGATAGTTTTTCTCAAGTTTTATTCCCTTTAGGGCTAAGTAGATTACTGCATGGCATATTTGTTCTTTATTTTGCAAAATATAAATATAATTTAAAATTATCTTTCTGTTAATTATATTAACTCTAAACAGAATTCATTCATTAGTCTTGTTTGAGTCTTAAATGAATGACAGAACACAGAATAATATCATTGTTGTTACAGAATGTTGACATTTGAAGTGATAAGTAAGTTATTGATCCATATGGAAAATTTGTCAAAATGTTGCTGTTGCATATATGATTTCTAATTTCATTTCTAGCAGAATGTGATTATTTCAGCTTATAATATGTTACAATTATCAATGGAAATTTTCTGTGGATTAAAATTTTACTAGTTTTTAAACTAAATTATTAATAATTAATTCATAATAACTATAATTAAATAAAATTCTACATTATATTTTTTAATAAAAAATATTTTTATATTGCACAGATAGTGACTATTCATGAAAGGATAATATTAGAAGAAATTAACTCTTTGTAAACAACATTTGTCTTTTCTATAAAAATCACAGTTTTGTATTTAATATTGTTTCAATTACAGAGTAGTCGAGGCAACCAAAAGGTAATGTTTGCTCCACCAAAACTGACAGTTTCATCAGTATTCTCCAAATTTAAAGAGATTGCTCAAATGAGTGGTAATGCTGTATGTTTCGTTTTACTTTTTAATAAATTTGTTTAATGTGTATGCATATTTTAGTGTATTCTTAATAATATTTATTATTCCATTAACCCCTTAACAATCAGATAATTTTCAAGAAAACGGTCATAGAAGTGCCTATTTTTGTATTGAACAAAATTGTATAAAAATAAGTGTGTGTACAATATACGTATGCATTCATTTTTAGTTTTTGGATTCTTTTAGCTTGAAATTTTAATAAAATAATATTTTAAGGAAAAGCCAACATTCAGAGTTATTGTGACTGAATGTTGGTTTTCCAGTAAGCCAGGAAAATTTAAGAACTATGTGTTTTAAATATTAAAAGAGAATTTTATTCATTAAACTTACACATAATATAAACATAGATTAGTAATTTTTCTTATGTGATATATTTCAAAGCATGAGATGCAAAGACCAACGTCACAAGCCAGACAGTAGTACCGACTTTCCTTCCTTCTGGAACAACAAACTTTGCATTCTTTTGATGGTTGCCATTTCTTATCAGTTGGGAGTATCTATCTAATAAAATGCCTTTCTATCAAACCGTTTGGATTATTCTCCATGCTTAGCTGGCCTCTTTTTGAAATGGTGTGTGATGAATGATACATTTCAATAAATTCATTGCCTGAAGATAAACGAAACATCAAATGGGAATTTTTTTCTAGCTTGTTTATTGTAAATAAGATATGAGTTCAAAATAGTTTGATTTAACAAACGAAAATTATTTTCTCATAATATTTCTTTCCTCTTTTTCGAGCAATAGTGTAATCTCCAAACTATTGGTTTACAATATTAACTGCTCCCATATTTTTATTGTAATCTGTGACAATTGTAGGTTTTTTGACAACTTTGTTATGACATTGTACACTTACCATGTCATTTGTATGAACTGTACATAGCATGGTAACATCTTTCTTATCTTTCCACTTCATGGGAAGAACTTTACCTCGACGACAAGCAATATTTTCATTTTTTGTGATTCTCTTTTTTACCAATTCTTGAGTCATTTCTTTTTGGTTTAGTTTTATAGTTCCATAAGTGTATGTTTGAAATTTTAAAAGCATGTCTGCCAATTCTGGTGAGGTAACAGACAATTTTTATACCTCACCAGACCTAAACCCTTGTTTTAGCAGAGGCTTAATAAGTGACATCACAACTTGAATTGTTTGGGGCAGATCTTGATATTTTGCATCAAAAACTGTACCTTTTCCAGTATAAATAATTTGTGACCATATATAGCCTGAACGGGATTCGCATAACAAATGCAATTTTACTCCAAAACGGGATCTCTTTTTTGGCATATATTGTCGCCATCCTAAACAACCTTTGAAGAGCATGAGGGTTTTATCAGTTACAATATCACATCCAGGAGTTACAACTCTTTGAAACAATTCATTCAGGAGCTCTAACCCTGGCCAGATTTTATACAGCTTGGGATTTAGATATGTGTTACAATCAAAGTTTCATTATCTACAAAATGCAGAAACTTGACATTTTCGTATCTGGTTTCCTCACAATACCTTGTAAAATAACTATACTGAGAAATTTAAGAATTTCTTCCTTTGTGATAAGTATCCAAGTTTTTTTTTTTTTTAATACCAAAAAAATCAGAATTTTGGCATTGTTTGGCATATCTTTTTATTTCCAAAACAATTTCACTGCTCGACATTGAAAATGCAACACCAAGAAGGAGTGGTCAGAAAGCAATGAAATTTGGAAAAAAAAAGACAGCAAGCAGCAATAAGTGATCTTTATTTCAAAATGATAGTCAGAATACAGAGCGAGAACGGCGTTGGCTCAGTAGGATGTAGGACCACTGTGGACAGCGATGCACGAAGAAACACGTCTAGGAATAGAGTCAATAAGAGTGCGGATGGTGTCCTGAGGGATGGCTCTCCATTCCCTTTCAACCATTTGCCACAGTTCGTCTTCTGAACAAGGCAGAGAAAGAGTCTGCAAACGGCGTCCAATCACATCCCACACATGTTCTATTGGTGACAGGATAGAAGAGTACGGTGGCCAGGGAAGCATCTGTATACCTTGCAGAGAATGTTGGCAGATGCGAGCACTGTATGGTCGGGCGTTATCCTGCTGAAAAATTGCATTAGGCAGCCCCTGAAGGTAGGGGATTGCCACCAGCCGCAATACATTATCCAAGTATCGTTGGGCTGCCATAGTGCCATGAATACGAACTAGAGGTGACCTTGGAATCATAGGCAATAAGCGCCCCAAACTATTATGCCACGTTGTCGCATGGTGGGGATGTTCCACAGTTACTGCCGGATTAGATCTTTCTCCACGTCGACGTCACACATGTATGCGGCGATTGTCACTGGATAAACAGAAGCGTGACTCATCTGAGAACATGACATTTCACCATTCTGTCATCCACATCTGAGTCCAGCACCATTCTAAACGTTGGCGTCTATGCTGTAGGGTCAATGTCAGTCTTCTTTACGAACGCCGTGAGTGCAGGCCACGTTCAACCAATCGATGGGAACATCCAGGGTATCTTGCACATGCTGCAGAATCATGGTACAAGTGACTTGCGCGATCGCCACAGCTTGTCAGCGGATGCGTCGATCCACGTGTGCTGACGTCACTCTGACTGCACCTGCACCTCCTTCTTCCCACATTTCCTTGTTTCAACCATGTTCGCCATAGCCACTGCACCGCCCTCGCATCCATGTGGGTATCAGCTACGATTTAACATAAGGACCAACCTCGCCCTTCTCAGTCTGATACCATACCCTTCGTAAAAATCGTGTATCTGGCTGGAAGTGCCTTCGTTGACAGTCGGCCTGGCATTCTCTTCCCTTATTACACGTATCCTCCGGGACAGAAACCAACTTTCTTTGATAATTTGTCTGGCAGAAATAATGACACAAATATTGCCCATTCTGCACGTTCGTTCCCTTATATCTTCATGTGCGTCAGAGAGCTGCACATTTCACATCATTTGCATAACTCAGTGACGTGCGTCTACTCTAAAATTTGCATAAATTTCTGACCACTCCTTCTTGGTGTTGCATTTTCAATGCCGAGCAGTGTAAATCCACTAAACTGTCATTTACAAAATGCTTAAAATATTGTAAGACACCAGAACTTGGATCAAAATTTATATTTACCTTTGGTGTTCCCCAAAATTTAAAATGTGGGGCTAGACACAATTTTAGTCTATGCTCTTCCAGGCAACAGTACAAATCCATCATTGCTGCTCTCAGATTCACTAATCGAACTTTCATAAAAATCAGTTTCTTCAAAATCACTTTCAAATGCATTTATACTAAAATCAGAATCCAATTCACTGTCACTATTGCTGTTAAATTTAATTTTATGGTTTAAGTGCAGAGAACATGATATTTAATAAATAAAAGTAACAGACAAAACAATTTACTAACATTTATTTACTTTTTTCTTTGAACCAATGCCCTGATGACGATGCAGTGAAAGATGTAAATTACTTATTTCTTTACCTTTTCGGTTTTGGAATTTTTTTGCTCCTTTCATGTAGTTTGCCACTTTTTTTTTCCATATGGTTTATTCCAAACTGAATATGGGATGAATTTTAAATGTATTTTTATTCTATATATATATGTCTTTAATGATAATTTTTCAGCAGCTTGATGCACGAAAATACTAGGCATGTATTTTCATGCATCATTTAGTAGCATAAATTGTTTTTGTAATTATACATATATATGTGTGTGTGTGTATGTGTTTCCTTGAGGAGGAAACACATACACATACATATATATATATATGTATAATTACAAAGGGAAATGGTTTCATAGTTCTTGTTTAAAAAATATGTACTTTCTATTTTTGTTTTGCAACTGTAGCATTTCTATTCATTCAGATATAAAAGCATATCAATTATTATTTTAGGTGATGTCAAAGAAGATTGACAAGATTCAAGCATTATTTGTAGCTTGCAGAGATTGTGAAGCTAAATATATAATTAGATCTTTAAGCGGAAAATTAAGAATAGGTTTGGCTGAGCAATCTGTGCTAACTGCTGTAGCTCGTGCTGCCACTCTTACACCTCCTGGTCAAAAGTATCCACCTGAAATTATTGATGCTTCTCATCGAAAAAGCCCTGAAAAGTTTAAAAAAACTTTAGAGGAACAAACATTGATATTGAAAACAACTTATTGGTGAGCTTTGTAACTTGGAATTTCTTCCCGTGAATAAATAAATATGTTAGAACTTACTAATTTTTTTCCCTCCTTATTCCCCCCCCCTTTTTTTTCTTTTCTTTCTTTTTTTCCTTGTTTTTTTAAGAGCTTGTTATTTTCAAATTATTTTTCCCTTGTATTTTATATGTATTTTTATATTTAATTTATAAATATCATTGTATTCAATGTAATAGTTTCTTATTGGGTACTTAACCATAATAGGGGGGAAATAATACAGTCCAAAGTCGTTAATTCGGACACCCATAATCCGGAATGATCTATAATCCGGACCTCAAAGCTAAAAACTTTCTGTGCATTGCGCCGCGTTGGCACATGCGCACAGGCATTTTACGCATGCGCGTAAGACCTTGACTACTGACAAATGCGTGTGCGCAAGTGCAGAATACGTTTTTTTCGCCTGCACGTTTATGTTATAAAACGGACGGTGTAAGCTAAAATTATCTAATTAATCTATTTCAGTTATGTTAATGATTGCATTGTTTTTTTAATCTAAGGATTGGATCCCACTTATTATTTTTTGCAGACTGTAAGAACAATTTTATAAAAGTAAACTTGAACTTTCGATTATGTCAAATAGAATTCTGATGCTGGAACTTCCAAAGGATCTACAAAACGAAGTATGTTTCGATGTCCAACAAACAAAAGTGGATTGCTGCAAAAATGGATAAAGACATGAAGAATGCGACAGAGAGGTTAGTGAAAACAAAAAATTTCGATTGACAGTTAGTCGTATTCTCGGCACAGCAATCAACGGGACTTGAACAGTGGAACTTTGTAACTGAACAAGAAATTATGTCTGTTTTATAGAATTAAAGAGAAAGTATTATCACATAAAATGAAGCAACTTAAACAACTTACATTGAAAGAAATGTTTCATAAAGTAAACAAATAAATATTAATTTTTTTTTTTTTTTTTTTTTTTTTTTTTGTAAATTTTGATATCCTTTAGATCATAATTGTTCTTTATTTCATAAATTACAGTTTCATATTTTTAATTTTATAATTTCTGCATGCCATCTTACGAGATTTAAACTGATGATCTATAATCCGGAATCGCTGAAGTCCCGACGAGTCTGGATTAACGACTTTTGACTGTATAGTGTAGTTAATGAAAGTATTGTGTTAAGTATAGCTTGAATTCATTCTGTTATTTTATTTTAATCATGCAGTGGTTATCTAAATGTATCTAAAAGTATTATTTCAAAACAAATGTAAGCTAACATTTGATAAAAATGTTTAATAAATTTAACAAATGTCAATGTCTGGTATTAGTGTGATGTACTTTTTTTTTCCAGTGAATGTCCAAATTATGATTTAATTATACCTGTGATGTTAAAAGAAGGCATAAATGCACTTCCTACACATTGTCACATAACTCCTGGCTGTCCTTTGAAGCCAATGTTAGCACATCCTACAGCAGGCATTGACGAAGTTCTTCGACGCTTTGATAACAATGAATTTACATGCGAGTTCAAATATGATGGAGAAAGAGCGCAAGTAAGATTTTTTAGTTATTTTGATGATGATCTGCTTTTAAATATCATAAATATTTTCTGAATAAATCACCTGACAGTTCTGGACCAGGGCAAACATTTTGAAGTAATAATATTTCCTCCTCCCATAAAATCTTGGAGTTTGAAGTCATTCTTTCTCTCTCTCTCTCTCTCTCTCTCTCTCTATGTATATATGTGTGTGTGTATGCATGTAAGGTAAAATTTTTAGTTGTAGTAGTCTGTAAAATCCTTCTTTTAAAGGTTTTTCTCTTTCTCTTAAAAATAGTCACATGCTTGTGATTAACATTTCGAAGCTGTGTCATTTAATTGGTTTAATCGATGTTTATATAATGCTGGTGATGCATGTACTTATATAGCAACAAAACTTTAAAATCAAATCCTCTATTTAGTAGCATTCAAATATTCAAATCAGAACTTTTAATAGCTAGGAATAACAATATTGCAATTGTATAAACTTTTTTTTTTTTTTTTTTTTTTTAGAAATAAAGTAATTTCTTCATTTTCTTCATGTCAAAGCTATCACACAATCATAATTCATGTATTTTCTTTCTTCTGATACCTTAGATAGATTTAATAGCTGGACTGTCTAAAGGAGTAATTTAGATAGTCCAGCTGTTAAATCTATTAAAGTATGTCCATTTATAAAGCTATTAAAAATATTATGAAGCTAGTTAGTCCAGCTATTAAAGATATTGTAAAGCTATTTAGTCCAGCTATTAAAGTATGTCCATTTCCCTTCAAGGTTAAATGGACATATAGTGACTCAAAGTATAGAAGCATAGAAAACTTTCAAACATTTACTGAGAAAAATTAAGTTATTGTTTCAAAACTTAAGTATTTTTATTGTTTTCTGTGTCTCTTCTATTATAATTAATAAGATTAAATAAATTATATATTTTTAAATATCTTTCCTTTAAATAAGAAATTATGGTTAAAAAATTGTATTGGAGCATTGTGATACTAAAGTTACAAACAGCTAATTCTAGCAAGAAGAAGAAGGAAGATTTTAAAAAGGTAAAGGTTTGTTAACATAGGTCTAAAACAGCAATTCACTGTCTGCCCTTGCACTCCTTATAGATTTCCAAAAAAAGGCAAAAAATCCAAATTAAGTGTATATGCCCCTCTGTAGCTGAAAATCTCAGAATGTGGAAATTGTGCATGGCAATTATCTATCACTTTTTCTCCCAGAGCTGATATTTCATGAAATTTATTACTGGCTACCCAACCTAGGGCCATCCCACACTAATTTTGTCAACAATGAGAGTGAACAGGAACTTGAGTGCATTCTGTATTGCGAAATGCTTTCAAATGAATGTATAAAACTGAACTTAGTACTGAAATATGCAAATGTAAAAAGTAAACCTGTCAAATTTTGTCAGTAGTGTGTTAAAGAACTGAACAAAGAAACCAAAGTTATTTCTAATACAGGTTATGCAACTAAAATAACCTTAAAATGTTTCCTACATGGCAAGTCTTCACATTGCTAAGAGCAGCATACCTCATTCTACATATAAGTAAGGCCTTTCTAATATAGGTTATGCAATTAAAAAGATATTAAAAAGTTTCTACATGACAAATCTTTGCATTGCTAAGAGCACAATGCCCCATTCTATAGGTCAGACCTTAAAACTATACTAGACCTGAGTTACAAAAGATATACTTAAAGCAATGCTTAGTGAAAATTTATTTAAGAGCAATTGGTTTAATACTACTTTCAAATTATATAGTTACATACTCAATAAGAGATGTGGCTAAAAATATAGAATCTGAACTTTTCAGTAGAATAAAAAGAAGTCTGTTTTATTCATTTCAAATAGAAAAGAACAGCAGATGTTTCAAATAATGCATAATCGCACATCCTTATGCCATGTATGAGTTCGACAATGATATTCATGAAGATATACCAACTCATACAACTGGAGAATGAATTTTTAAAGTCCCTTAATCTCCAAGAGCATGAAATTGATTGAAAAAAAATATGTAAGTTTTTGTTACACACCTGTAGGACTCATGCACTTACCAGTAAGTATAATACCATTGTAGCTAGATTGAGCTGTAGCACATGATGTTACTTGGACCTATTGTTCATTCTCAGTGAAGTGTTTGTGGCCAAAAATATGTTATCTAAATTTAAAACCATGTTAGAAAGGTAAAGCCTCTGAACAGCAGAATATTTTCATTATTTTGTGATGACATGGGCAACTAGTACAAACAGCTTTTTCTTCATTCTGAAGTTCATTGGTTTTGATTTGGAAAGGTAAGGTACTCAGGTGGCTCTTTGAATTAAGTATTATCAGTGCCCGTAAGAAAATAAAAGAGTTTGAGAGAAAACTTGGTTTGGGTTAATTGTGTGATACAGAGAAATATTTCAGCATTTGTCATGTTAGAAACTTTTTAGTAGAAAATTATATAATTTTTGGAAAAGAAATATGCAATGTTTGCATCTCAAAACTCTGAGGTCACAATTTGGAACTTATTTTGCAAGTCGTAAGTATAGCAAATTTTCAAGGGTTTGTGGTCCTTTCCATTTTGGTATTGAAAATAACAAATTATCATTGAATGAAAGACAGCAGTTAATTGAATGACATCAGGCTTAATATGAAATTTCAGTCAGATGGTATGGTTAATATTTGGATCTAATTACCAATAAAAAATTAATATAGTATACTGTACAGTGATGCTTTAAAAATTATAATTCAGTTTGCTTCTACATATCTATTTGAGATAATATTTCATAACTAACTAAAAACAATATACTGAAATCAACTTGATGTAAGTGCTTATAAGCTTTCCAGCTTACATCTGAATATAGAAGTGCTATACAAGAATCAACAGGCTCATCCATCTTATTAACATGAGTGCCAACATTTATTTAATTTTTAGTTAATAAAGATTATCCAAACTCTTAATAGTCTAAATTATTAAAAGTTAATATAAATTTTCTTCTATTTTTTGAAATTAAGTATAATGGTAAGAACATGTGCTAAATAATTGTTTTCGAAATAGATAAAGAATAAGGTGGTCTGCAGAATATTCTCATTCATAAAAGTGGTCCCCACTTGAAAAAAGATTTGAGATACAGTGGTCTAAAACAGATTTCTTTTGATGTGAGAAAACTGTAATTTTTCAATGGAATTATAAAAAACTTGACAGAAAAGTAGCTGAACTATTGAATACAGGATGAAGAAAAAAATCTTATTGTTCATAATATAATTTCAAAATACGGTAAAACAAATTGATTAGAAACAAATTAGCAACATAATGTCCAAGGCATTTTGCTGAATGCAAAGAAAGGTGCAGCATATAGTAAGTAATATTGTATTATTTATAATCTTAGAGACATTGTAATCAGATTGATTTTAAAATCAAGCAAGTCTACTTATATGGAAAGTGTTAAAAATTTATTTATAATTTCTTTAAAAATATTTTAAGAAAATAATATAACTTTCAAGTTCAAATAGCTAGAAGAAAACCATTCCTCAGTAAAGCAAACTGAAGGGCTTTATTACAATTTGACTGTATCTTTTTCAAAATCTTCAAGATTTTTTAAATTCAGCTATATTTGTAGTTAAAAGTGAATTCAGTATTTTTAGAAGTGATAAAATGCAAATGATTTGGCTAAACACAATACTGAACTTCAAAACATGGTGAAGGTAGCCAGATGGTCTGGTGCTCTATGTGTGCTTGCAACACTTAAAACTGCATTTTATTGATGGTGAAATAGATAATTTGCATATTTTAATATGTTAAAGCAAAAAATGAGCACTAAGACGGTAGGCATATTGTCATACCGAAACTTTTTCAAGATAATAATCGGGAGCATAATGCTCATATTTGCAAACTATGGACTTTATATAACTTTATACATGTAATCAGAATCCTTGTGCAGAGTCTGTATCTCAATTCTATTGAGCACATGTGGGATCTACTATGAGATAAAGTTACTAAATTCAGAATTTCCAACAACACTGAAATCTGAGAAGCAAATGTCTCTCAAAACTCTAAAAGACTATTTTTATCTATTTAAAAAAAAATTACAAAACATTATTAAAGTAATTTCTAGAATATGTATATACTCATAGATATATATATAGATATATATACACGCACTCGTGCGCCCCAATAATTTTTAGACCATTACTTTCTTATTTGCTGTAGCCCTAAGATAAGGCATGTAAGAAAAGTATTAGATATTTAATTATTCTTTAATTTGTTGTGGCCTAGTTGTTTTTTGACTTATTGTAACTGACATTCCTGGAGGTCTAACTTTAATCTTATGATCATTTGAAGTCTCAGTTAATAAAACTTTCGAAGATGAAAGTTTTGATGTGAAGCAGATAGCTGAAAGTAATCAAATTTTTATGCATAGATGTAAGTAGCAGTTCCCATGTTTGAAAACAATGGGTAAATGGCTCACAGAGACATCAAAATTAATTTCCCTACTAATAATTTAGAAGAACTGAGATTTTTCAGACATGACTTTGATTTAATCTAACAACCTGCTGAAAATGAATTCACAAGTGAAAGAGAAAGATATATCAAACCAAGAAAATCGGGAGTTCATTAACATTTTGAATTAATATTGCAAACAACAAATGACCCATTTAATGATTAATCAGTAGACAATTGTTTAATTTTAATTTTAAAAGCAAAAATGGATTATTTATGTGCTGCTTACTAAAAAAATTAAGATTGTTTGAAAATATTTGTATATGATTTGCTTCTTCATTTTGTTTTAATAATAAATGAAAAATATGCTCAGAAATTTGGTAATTTGTGAAAACATTAAAAAGTTGTGAAGCTTTTCTTGAAAAGTATGATTATTAATCATTCAGACTTAGCAATAACAAAGATTTTTCTGATTTGTGAAACTAAATGTTTGGAATTTCAACAGAACATTTTAAATTAAGAATTGCACCTATTTTCAGAAATGTCCGATGATCAAATTTACATTCGAATGCAATGATGTTTAAAGATTTAAACATCATTGCAGTCTTGTGTTATGTTATATTTTAACAAACTGAAAGCATTATAAAGTAAACATATTCATTACAAAGTTATTTGCATTTTCTGTATAATCCCATTTATATTCCTCATTCCAAATAACAGTAAAAGTGTAAAAACATGCAAATGTTTATATTTTTATCAATTTTTCATTTGTGTTTACATTTTCATAGTTACTAGACTGGCTCTGAATAATAAGCTCACATTATTAAATACTTCCTTTTAGTTTAAATAAATAACTTTAAATCTTTTTTAACCCTCTAACTAGGTATTGAGTACCAAATGGTATTTTATATCTTTTTAAATTAAATGCCTTGCCCCCCTTTTCTTGCATATATATGAATATGTATGTGTATTATATGTGTATATACTTAACCTAATATATATTCTAAGTAATTATGAGTAATTTAAAAAGCCGAATACTTGTGCTAAAGTTGCTAAGTAATAAATCAATTATTTATTATTAGAAAAAAAAAATTTTTTTTTCTTGTATCTATCTCCCTCTTAATTTTGTTATTGTTAATTGATAGTAGATCGGTTTGGTCCCCTTGACAAATCAATTAGTCTACAGTCAACAACAATAACTACTTTTTCAGTATTTTTAATTTTACTATTTAGAATTTTTCCGGTTTTAAAAAAATATTTCTGCAGTTTATTAAAATATTTTTACTAAAATAAAAATCTAAATAACTTAAAATACTGACTCAAATTTATTCCAGTATTTCATGACATTAATTAAATTTTTGTTCCTTGGAGATAATATGAAAAAAAAACTTTTCTAATAATATATGGCTATCTAGAAGGTAAAAACATGAAGTTAATCATTATAAACTGTTGTTAAATTGTTATTTTCATTTTTTTATTAATCTTCTACTCTAAAATCAATAGATTCATATGACTGAGAAGAAAGAAGTAAAAATATATAGCAGAAATCAAGAAAATAATACCTCTAAATATCCTGATGTTATTGTTAGAATTTCTAAAGCTTTGAAAGAATCTACTACGTCATTTATTTTAGACTCTGAAGCAGTTGCTTGGGATTCAGAAGCAAAACAAATATTGCCATTTCAAGTGCTAAGTACGAGGAAGAAAAAGGTAATGTATTGATTAAATATTTTAATACATTCAAAAAAACTGCACTGAAATTGTTCGTTCATTTATTTAGGACATGTAATTCAAATGTATGAGACTAACACTTTTTACGTTTTCTTTTGATGACAAATGATTTTGCATCCAAGTTATTAAAAATATCTTGGACATTATTATGAATAGCAAAGACTCAGTTCTTTCCAAAAGACAAAGCAATAATTTCCTCGTATGATAAGCAAAATTATTTAAAGTTAAAAATGAGATAAAATACTCTAGTTGATATGCTGGAACCATTTAAATATAAATAAAAGTCAGGAGCTTTCACGTATGACGTGTCTGCTTTATCACCTTAAACTGGAATATATGACTTCATCAAGTTTCAAGTATTTTATTTGTCTCTGCAGAGTTGCTGTATTCAAACTTGACATCCAAATGTATGGAAGGTTGAAGTTTTCTGTTGCAACATGGCTTGATAGTGATTTCAAGTGTTTCTCTAATTTTAATACTACTTTTATGCTGGGTTTGGAAATGGTTTTGGTCTTGTCCCTTGTCAATTATTGAGTGTGGATGCACTGAAATATTTGGCTAAAAATGTGTTTTATTTTTTATTTTTATTTTATTTTATTTTTCTTATTTTTTATGTATTGGTTAGCAGAGAGCTTGGAGATATCTTTTTTTATATTTGGCATTTCTAATTGATAGTTTTCTGGATGTCGAGCCAATATATTGAGTTACTGTGCTTTTAGCTTTGTGAAATAGAATATTTTATACACCTCATAAGTATGTATTGTTGCAACGTCTGATTGATCTGATCTTAACCTTTTCCAGATGGATGGGGCTGAGGTAATCTCAAGTTTATAACCAAATCTTTTAAACCATAAAACAGGTGTAGGGGATGATGAGATAGTAGGGAAAGTTTCTAATAAATTTGCTGTTGCTATTATTTGATGTTTGCATTGATAACAACTTTACTTTTTAAGAAATGACTGTAGAAGCTTGTTTATTGGTTTTCTTGGTTAGTTTTTCCACAGAATCGAGGGGGTATCTATTATTTTCTGTTACGAAACAGAAAATTGGCATGTTTCAAATAAAAATTCAAGTAAGGCAGCTGTTTTATATGGATGTTTCTGAAAAATATAAATAAGTCAGACAGGATAGAAAGTCACACGGAATTATTACTGAATTGTCAGTTGGTTTTTGATAGTTTATAGCCTGAAGAGAATTGCAGTTTATTAAAATATGAAAAAATGGAATGCTATTAATGGCTTATCTCTTGATTGTGAATTGCAGGTTGAGAAAATTTTCTGAAATAAAAGATGGTAAATATTTAAAATTTTCATCCATTCTGTGCCTCATAAATATCATCTACATACTTCTTCCAAAAGATAGGATTTGGGGGGGGGGGACTTGGAGAAAACAAAATTTTAAGAATGTAGCATATAGATTTTAGCCAGGATAGGTGAGTCTGATGCTCCCATAAAGGGAGACTATTTTTGTTGAAGGCTTTCAAGTTACAAATTTCAATATTATCACAATTGCTTATTCTGATTCAAAGAAATTAGTTCAGCTCAAAACTAAAAGCATATCATTCTTCACATCAAATATAATTAAAAAATCTTACTTATTTGTATATCAAAAAAGTGTGCCCTCTGCTCCCAAGAATGTAGATGTTTCTTCCATTGGTGATCTTTTAAAATTATTTATGCACTTAATGTGAAAGTATTGGCAAACGTTACATTGCCAGTGTTTTCATAACTTGCATATTGTTGCATTAATTGTTTTATATCTGAATATTAATCAAATACAATCTTTTAATAAATTTGGATCTCATCCTCCTGCCAAATTTAAATGAGGATTATCTTGTATATAAATACACTTGGCACAGGGATAAATAGAAGGGCTAGGTCATTCTTTTGTTCGACTCCTCGCCGACGTGAGCCTCATAAAGGGGGTTAACTGGAAGTAATCTGATGTGTCTGTGTTGCACCTGCTCTGATTTCGCGCATTTAAAAACTGTTGTTTCATTCAGTTGCGAGACGATCTTCTGGAGGTCGTGTATCCCAAATTAATTTTAATCATATATATTTGTTTTCTAATAATGCAAATATTTAAAATAATTTGTATATATATATAGTTTTAGTCAGTTTTCCTTTTAAATTCTATATTTAAAGTATCCTTTATGTAATATGGCTTCTTTTGCTGTAGCAACCTGCTGTAACACTTATAGAAATACGAAAGGAAGAGATATTGTATTTCATGTTTTCGACGAAAGAATGAATACATAAATGTCGAAGACAGGATTCTAGTAATGTGAAAGACACAAGAATTTTCAGCGAAAATTTCTGTGAAGTGATTATGAAGATGACATGAGAAATTGCTTGCTTGTATTGCCGCAAAAGAAACTGTTGAAATGCAATACTGTGCCGAAAGTAAATTTATTGTGTACAGTAAACGAAATAACACCAAGAAATCGGAGACATTTGAAAAGAAAACTAATGCAGAGTGCTTTTGAAAGACTACACGAATTAAGCCAAAAGAAAATTTATTTTGAGGCCGAGCAAAATTGAAGCTGATAATAAATCAAATGTGAATGATTTTGAAATAAAACTCAAAAATGACAATGCCGTAAGTAACAGTATCCCTGAATGCCCTAAGTGTAAAGATATACAAGAATGCATTGATAATTTGAAGAACAAAATAATATCCTTAGAAAATTGTAATAAAATATTGAAAAATAGAGAAAAGAAAAATTTTAAAATGTTTGCTCAGCGACAAAAAAGTTGGACGACATCTAGAAAGAAATTTGAATCGTAAATTCAGAAATTAAAATCCCAAATAGTGAAATTTAGGAAAAAACAGCACAGATAGGAGAATTTGGAAAAACATCTAAAGCATATTTTTACAAAGACGCAGATTAACGCATTGCTAGAAAAGAAGGAAAAAATCAGGTGGACTACTGAAGATATTTCATGTTGCATTGTCATAAGAGCTCTGTCATCTAAAAGCTACGAATTTTGGAAAGAAAAAATGGGAATTTCTTTACCTAGCACTAGCACATTAAAGAGATGGTGCGCTAAATTTTCATGTACTCCAGGAATTCAGAATGATGTTCTTGCTGTAATGAAGGAAATATGCGAATATTTGAATTCTGTAGAAAAAAATATGAGTTCTCAGTTTCGACAAAATGCATATAGATTCAAAACTCTGCTATGACTCTAAACTGGACTGAATTCTTGGTCCTTTTCAGAAAGTTCAGTTTATTTTAATCGCAGATCTCATTTCGCAGTGGAAACAACCAATATTTTTTTTTTTTTTTATTTTAACACTCTAATGAAGAAAGAACTTTTTTCACTCATAAGACATATTCAATCATCTGAAGTAGAAGTGAAAGCAATAGTGTCTGATTTAGGAGGATCTAGTATTTTGTGGAAAGAGTTACAGATTTCGATCAATAGTTCTCACTTTCCAAATCCAGTATTGCAAACGAAAAAAAAAAAAAAAAATATGGGTTTTTGCAAATTTATTGCATTTTCTCAAATTACTGAGAAACCACTTTTTAGGTAAAGGATTTGTTTTAGAAGATGAAACTGTTTTAAATGTTGATATTATTAAAGAGTTTTTAAATACAGATTCAGGAGAAATTAAATTGTGTCACAAACTAAAACAAAATTATTTAATGTTCAAGGAAAACGAGAGACAAAAAGTCGCTCCAGCGAAAACGTTATTTTCAAGAACTACTGTAAAAGGTATACTCCACATCACAGGAAATCAAAAAGCATCTGCTTTTCCATTAAATACTATTGATGATTTGGATAATATTTCATAGAGGAACCTTCTCCTATGGCTTGAGAATTAGAATTGAATTGCGCTAGACAATTTTCAACTGCCGAAAAAGAAGCATTTTACATATGTTGCAGGTTATATTGCCTACCGTGTGCAAGACAAAGACCCATCATTGGGAACAATATCTAAAAATATTGCTGATGAACCAATATTTAATTCAGAATGGATTAAATTATTGTCCTTCGGAGGTTTGACTACACCTTCCCATTCATGGATGAATACAGTTTACAAATTCGAAAACATATTTTGTGCAGTTCATGGTACAACGTACTATAAAGGGTAGCATGTAATTGGCTCTTTAATTAATAAACTGGAGAAACATTATCCTGAAGTTAACAGAGAAGCAATCCGTTTATTTTGCAGAGTGTGAATTTTTATTAGAATAAGTTTCTTAAATAGAAATGCAAAGGTTTTTCCCCAAAGAAAAGCAACTCAAAAGGCAAAAAAGTGGATTGCCTCGAATGTGGCAGCCAATAAATAATATTTCAACAAATTGTAGTTGCATTGTGACTGTACAAGTAAGCATATATAATATGTTTTGATTTGAAATATTTCTAGATGACATTTTAGAGGTTAATAGCGTAAAGTATATTTCAAATGAGAACTAATTTTGTTAAGTTATTGTTAAAATTATTTTTATTGTATCCTGTGTTATTATTGATACGATTTTGTGCTAGCTTAGTATTCTAGATAAAATATAATAGTATAACATTAAAGTAATTGGCATAAGAAGACCTGCCTCCTTAACCCCCCACTTTTGAAAAATTAAGTAAGTTTTTTAGGTACTGTGAATAAAGTTGTTTTGTCTAAATTAAGATAACAATCTTACATGTATTTATTTAAATGTAATGTTGATGTAAGCCTAAGTTGCAAAATTATTTAAAAAAATATATGTTATTATAATGAATCGGGAGAAAAATATGCCATTGTAAAATTTACAATTAGGCTGAAACTCAAACTTAGATTATCAGAAATTTTGCCATATATAACCAAGCATGTTTAAAACTATGCCAATTTAAGGTTATTTTTTTTTATTAATAATTTTAAATAGCTGTTATTATAGTTATCTTAGAAGCAGTAGTAGAGTTCTCTTAGTTAACATGCAGTTAAAGAAATGATTAGAAATAAACAGGCATTTAATACCTGCAAATTTAAAAAAAAAAGGAACTTTATGCTAAGAGTAGTGCATTTTATCTGTTATTTTAAAATTGAGTAAGTACTATTGAATTTTTTAATGTTCAGTGTAAAATGCATACTGCACTAACATTATCTCTTTCAAATTATAGCTATCTTTCACATACAGCTCATTTTAAATGCTGGTTCTTCAAATTTAAAATGCTAATTTCTATGTTCTCAAATGCATCTCTGCGCTCAGTGTCATCATGGCTACGTCATCACTCCCCACTGCCTGTTTCAGGGAGAAAAGCTCTATGAGCTAGCCCTTCTCTTTTAAGTCATGCACTTTGCAGATAACAGTTTCATTAACTTAGATTTTGAAATTATTTAAATTTTTCAGAATTTAAAGTTTTTTCTGTGTAAATTTAAGAAATATGCTGGAAAACTAAAGTCACATTTATTTTCATTGTATGTATTTATCCTAGCTAACATGCATTAAATTTAAGTGCCCTCCTTAATATTTATTCATACTTATGTGTGATAAATAAAAACAAACTTGAAGATGCAACATATTTTATTGATGCATTTGTTATATAAATTTTGCTAGTTTACTTCTTTTTTTTTTTTTTTTTTTTTTTTTTTTTTTTTTTTTTTTTTTTTTTTTTTTTTTTTGTATTTTTTGTATGTGTAATTGAAACTTTGAAATTTATAATTTTAGGATGCTGTGGAATCTGAAATTGTAGTTCAAGTTTGCATTGTAGCTTTTGATTTATTATACTTGAATGGTGAATCTTTAATTAAAAGACCACTGAAGGAACGCAGAGCTTTACTACATTCTTCTTTTGTTGAAGTTGATAATGAATTCATGTTTGCCAAGTCCAAAGATGGAAACACTGCTGAAACTATGCAAGAATTTCTGGATGAATCTGTTAAAGGTCTGGTATTTGTGATTTAAAAAGCATTTTTAAAATATATTTATGGCCTTTTACCATGAATATGACATGAAATGTTTTCAAAGTTATAGTTTAATATTAGATTTTTTTTTCATCAGGAAATGTTAATATATTATAGATTTCTGATTAAGGGCTTACCTCTTTTTTTTTTTTTTTTTTTTTTTTTTTTTTTTTTTATTGTAACTTGAAAACATTTTATATTGTCACAGCACTCACCATCATTAACAGGACTTTGAACAAAATGTGTAACTTTGAAAACTTTTTGAAAGATTTTTTTGTCGTATCTTTTCATTATTATAGAATAGTGAGGAATTTTGCTCAGCTTATGTTTTCTTTATATAATTTTTTAAAACATTCATTCATTTGAATTCATTATCTTTTTTTTATTTATAGGTAACTGTGAAGGTCTTATGGTGAAAGCATTGGAAACTGATGCTGCTTCCTATGAAATTGCGAAAAGATCTCATAACTGGTTAAAAGTATGTTTGTAATATATTGAATATATTGTTCTCTTTGCTGTATTTTATAAATTAGTGTTTCTTAAGCTGTATATCATTAACCAGATTGCTCGTTTCTCAGAAATAAAATTGTCACTCTCAGAAACACTCAGATGCTTGAAAATACAAATAGTGATGTCTAATAATCATGTACGTAAATATTTCTTTGTACTATGAATGAATTGGTAATTTGCAAGATAAGTTACATCTAATAGCACTTCTTTAAGCTAGTAAGCTAGAGGTGCAAAATATTGCAAGAAGTAAAGTACCTCTTAGACCCCGATGCAAAAAAAAATTCTTGGGAACCCCAATAAATTTACAGTACTTCCTTCCCCAAGAAAATCAAGGTTTCCAAGAGCCAAAATTTTGATGATGATTTTTATCACATCTGGATTAATGGTTAAAAAGATCTGATATGAACACCATATGACTTCCTTGTACAGCCTGTTAAATTATACACTTTTTTCCCTCTGCACTAAGTTAACTGAATCCTCAAGGCAAGATGAAAATGACGTCAAAAATGGCAAATTTGAAATTAAATACCCTGGCCAGTCTTTGTCGTACAGAAGAAAACTTCTTATAAATTTTTTTTTTTTTTTTTTTTTTTTTTTTTTTTTTTTTTTTTTTCCCCCCTTCATAATGAGTATAAAACTGTGTCAAATATAAGTACAGGAACCAGAAGACCACATTAAAAGTTAAATTTCATCATGTCTTTTTTTTTTTCCCCATTGCCAAAACAATATTTCCATCATTTAAAACACTTATGTTATGGTAAGATATGACAATGTGCAATGATTGCAAAAATAAAAGCCATGTAAGAGAGTATAATACTGCCAGTTGCAATGAAAAACAGAAGTGCACGCTAGATATTATAGCATCCCATGTACAAAATTTCAAGGTTCTGAGGCTAATTGTTTTTTAGTTATGCCAGATATATATGTATATATTCATACATGCATATGCACAATCATGTAGATGTCACAAAAAATCCCTTTTAAATCCATTTTACAATCCTTTTTGGAAACAAAATTCCTTTACTCTGTCCATATGTACAGACATTACACAACAAAAATTGTCCAAATGGATTTGGGAATGGTCACAATAGGTATTTCTGTTGAAATATGATATCCATAATTGTTCATTACAATACTTCCTTTATTTTTACAAAAAAGTAAAAAGGGAAACATTTTAATTTCATCCCAAAGCTGTGTTTTCACACAACTGCGTAAACAATCACTTTTCATAAAAAGAAAATGAAATTTTTTTCCGAAAACTCTATAATTTTAAAAGTTATCTGGATTTAGTCTTTCTAAAACTAACTGAAATTGATTTCATCTTTTACAGACTTTTCCAATATTTGATCAGTACAGTTAGTTGCTTCCCAATTTTTCTTTTCAATATAGTTTGCAGTATAATGAGAACTTCTCTCCTGCTTTTATATTCTGATGGGTAATGTTTGCCAGTGCTGTATTCTGTTCGATCGTATCGTGTTTGAAATTAACCAGCATGGTTCATAATAGTCTTTGTTAACTGATGCAGATGATAGGTAATGAAATGTTAAGATGAAAATTATTAAAACTAATATTTTAACAATTTAATCTGTTCCAAGTGCCAAAATCTGTGACAATAAAGCCAAAATCTGTCTGTCTCTAAAACCAAGTTATTCGTCATTGTTTAATAAACAGAAGAAAGCAATCAGCAGTCTTGATTTGGGGAAAAGCTGGTATCTCGGTCTACAAAGACCACAATTAAAAATAACTCTCTTCTTACCTTTTGTAAGAATTTCTGGATAATGACCGAAATTGGATGGATAACTTTCATTTTTTTATATCTGTAAAAGCGGTTGGAACATTTTCAGACCTTTCATCACCTTTACGGCTATGTTGAAATATTTCTGATAGTTCATCTTCTTCTATGACTTCAGTTGAAATATTTTCTGTTACATTTTTAATTCTTAAAATTTTATTTCAACTATCTGGTGCTGCATTTAAATAAATGTTCACTAATTTTTGATGGGTGTCCCTGTGAGCTTAAAGATGATGCCTAATATTCTTCTTGATTAGAATTTTCACTTTGGAAGTACTGATTAGCAATTTTGATTTTCTTCATTGCCCATTTTAAAGCATTGCAGAAAATTTTTTGGCACCCCATTTAAAGTGTTCTTTTCCATAACTATGAGATTTTTTAATGTTATAATTTATAAGTAAAAAGGCATATAGAGTAAATTATTTAATTCATCACTTAATTAATCAAGAAGAAAATTTTAATAATATCATTGAGTGTTCTATGCCTATTGAAAACAGTATATTCTGTATCATTTTTTAAAATGGTAAACAGTTTATTTCACTTTTTTCTTTACATTCATGTCTAACCTAAACATTAGTTTTAAAATTTTTAATCTTGACATTCCATTCATCTGTGCAAGTTGAAATTAAGTGAGTCTCTAGAATAGAAGAGGAACATGCCAATGTGACAGTCAAATCGCAATAACAACCTTGTATTTAGCGTACATATATTAAAACACTCAATCGATTTCAAGGGCAGCTAAAGGTCCCTCCTCATCAGGAGAACGAAATTACTAGAGAGGAGAGAAAAAAAGAAAAATAAAGCATCGAGAAATTAGTTTCAGAAACACGTGGTCGTTATCAGCACTGCACGTGGTCGTAACCGGATTTTTAATCAGAGTTACCTACTTTTACTGAGCCAGGCTATATGATCAAACATACAACACATAGACTAAAACGAGGGGGGAAAAGAAGAAATCAGCGAAGTAAAAAATAGGGAGCGAGGGGCCAACTGCACCTTCACACACCAAATCTAAACCTAGAATTAATTTTTTTTTTTTTTTTTTTTTTTTTTCTTAATCTATGAATGAAACACAGCTGTGTACTCACATTTCTGTAGTGAATGGGCTCGCCAAAGAAAATTCTGCAGTGAGATAGGGATACAGCTTTTGATCTGTTGCTTCAGTGATCCCATTCTGGTATTTATGAGGGTATTTAAAAACTAAACATGGCTAAAATGCATGGACTGATTTGTGTTGTTCTGCCTCCTAGTATTAGTAAAGAAGGTTAAAAGTAATATACAAAGCCTTTTCCATTCAATTTTTCTGTGTAATTCAATTTTTATGCATTAATTTCTGTGCAATTTTTCTGTATAAAGCCTTTTCCATTTAGTTTTTCCTTTCAGTTTCAGAGAGAAATTTTTGGGTATGCCCAAACTGGGAACAAATTTGGTTTAAAGGAAAGGTTAAACATGTAAATGTTTTTCAGTAGGATATTCAAGGGCTCCCTAAGCAATCTGCTCCCTGTGTGTTGGTATTCCTTGTGTACCCTTATTTACACTACTGCAAGTGATATTCATACTGATATAAATAAAGTCTGTAACTTTATTAAAATTTTGTAATGAATACTTTCTTATTTTTGTAGCTGAAGAAAGATTATTTAGAAGGCATTGGTGATACACTTGATTTAGTTGTGATTGGAGGTTATCATGGGAAAGGGAAACGAACTGGAACATATGGAGGTTTTCTGCTCGCCTGCTATGATGTTGAAAATGAAGAGTTTCAGACAATATGCAAGGTGTGTATATTAATCTTTAAATGTGAAAGATTCTTTAAAAAAAAAAAAGAGAGAGAGAGAGAGAAAAGTTTAAAATTTTTTGTTGTGTAAGAGTTATGACATTTTTTATTCCTTGAAAGACATAATTTAAATAAAAAATAGGTTTTTTGCATATTTCCAGTGTATTTCCATATCAGTCATGAATATAACTGATTTCATTCTAAAGAGATAGATATTTATTTTTAAGAGTTGTCTTTATCCAAATATGAATCAAATAAAATGTGTAAACAGAATGAGCTTAATTCTTTTGGTGTATGTTTTTCATTTTAACTGAAAAATAACACCTATAGAAAAAAATTGTAGTGCTAAAGAGAATGTTTTAAACATGCATTATTTTTCTATTATCTGATATGTGATTATTATTTGTTGACCAGTGAAACAATGCAGGGTGCTTTAAATTTACATTACTGTACTGCTAGCTGGCATTGGATTATTTTTACCTTCACTTTTAATGTGCACTTTTTTATTCAGGAACACTTTTTTAAAGGAGTCAAATAAATTTTAAGTTTATAACCACCTTATTCAGTTATATATATGATAATTATGAAGTTACTTTCCAGGAATAAGATTTTAATTTTGTGAAATAAAAAATATATTTCACAAAATTTTCAAGTAAGAAAAATTATTGCAATTTATTTTAAGATTTCTTTGTATTATCTGACTCATTAATTAGTTTTTTTTTTTCTTAAACTAAATTTGTATGTGCATTATGTATTTTTAAATGTGACATTAATCTCAAGCAACTCCCATCATTCAACACATTTTGAGTCTGCTGTCATTAGTTTGTAGATTTTATAGCAGGATAACCCTGTTACTTATAATTCAAAATCTGCAATGCAGTGTTTTTGTTTCACATTTTTGCTAATCTCTTATATTCAGCTATGTTATAATCATTCAGGTATTTACACATAAGCACAACCACCTTCATGCAGTTTGGCAAATTTTATGGAAAAAAAAAAGAAAGAATAATGGCATTTTGTTTAAAAATTATTTATTACATACATATTTTATGTTTCTCAAAAAAAAAAAAAAAAAAAAAAAAAAAAAAAAAAGGAAATAAACCTACTTACAAAAGGTTAAAAGGTTTTATTCTGGCATTGAAAGGTGCCTGGAGTTTAAAAGACGACAGTGTAATTACAAAAAGCGATGGTTGCAATTGTCTTAACGTTTCATAAAAGTGTTTTGAATTGGCCAAGTTTTCTAATAATTTTCATTGTCTCCTCTCTTATTTTCTAATAATGGTGCAGATAGTTTGCCTTTTATTTTTCTTTTATTTAGAAATTTTTTTGTTAAAAATTTTTTTATTTGACCAGCATTGAACAACTGAATGTGTTTAAAAGTAGGTTTGTCCATTTGCTGTGCACGAAAACATTTGGGATTTCTAGAAGTAAAAAATATGATAAATTTCTAAGTATGACACTGCTGTTATATTAAATTAGCCAGTTTCTGAATATATGACATAGCATATTGATTGACTTTGAAATTCTCAAATCTTGCTTCAGAGAACTAATATATTTTTGGATCTTTCGTAATAATATGAATGATCAGACATGTAAGCAAGAAAACAGTTATTGGTCTTTATTGACACATATCAAATGTCTGCTTGTGAGAAAGAAGTAGCTTGTTTAATTTTTACTTTTGGTAGACAGACTTAATCCTTTACATCTAAAGATTCATATAGAGTAATTTACTATCTTTAGATGTATTAGATCCTCTTGCAGCCACTTGAAAATTCAGGCATAGATTATTATTATTTGTTATTTTATTTTATTATTATTATTATCATTTTATTTTGTGACATTTCCCTAATGATGATTTTATATTCATGATGTTTGTAAAATCATGTATGTAATTATTCCAGTGCATTATGGTGCATTTGACATATCAACCAATTTTTTCCCCATTGTTCATGCTTTTCCTTGTGTTTACAAAGTTAGCAACTTTTGATTTCTTACTAGTGCTGGTACACACATGTGCATAAATCATTTAAGGTGTCTGAATGGACAAGGGCAGATATATATTATATTCCATTAAAAATAATGAATATTACTGAATTCTATAGACTGTAAAATCCTACTGAAAAAAAAAAGTAGAAAGAGAGAAAATTGTCATCTCTATCTTTTGAATATAGGAAGAGGAGAAATATGTAATTGGAGCTAAATAACAATAAAATACAAGTGGGTTGTGATGATGGTGAGTTGCATGAGAAGGAAAGGAATTGGTGACAACAACTGCTTTTGTTTTTCTTTTGCGTGATTTACAACCTACAAAAATAACATATTTTTTAATTGTTTGTCTTATTGGTTGAGAACGATTTTTAGGGATTCTATGAGACAAAAGTGAGTCCTTCCTCAAATGCATAAGATAATGAAAGGTTTATATAGATTATAATGTTGTAAAACACTTTTGATCTTGATTTTTTTATTTATTAAAAGCTGCTTTATTGTCATTTGTAAATATCTGATCATGGAAACCTTCATGTTGTAAGTAATTTTTTGTATAATCTTGTGTTTACTACCATTAAATTTAAAATGTCCCTAAAATACTCATCACGAATATGAAAAATGATTTCCATTATTGGTAGAGTAAATAAAAAACAGTTATCCTATATGCATTATGATGTTGCTGACATAACTAATGCTAATGGTTTAGATCATGAAACTTGCAAATTTTGATGCAAAATCTGAAGGAGTATAGTAGATAGATGATCTGAAGGATTATAGTAAATCTCAACCTTTTTCTGGGGCTCGGGCAAATATGTCCCATGCACTTGCCTTATTAACACATTTACTGCCGTGGGGGTCACCGGTGGCCGGCGCTCGACTTTACTACAGCACCGTGGGGTCCACCGGTGACTGGCAATGCAACCAATAGTAAAAATACATAATTAGGGTAAATATCAATACTGTAAATTTTTAAATAATACCATTGTTGCTATAATGGTTTAAAGAATAATAAATCGCAAAAATTATCTACAGCGCCTTGGGGGGTCACCGGTGACCCCCACGACGAAAAATACATTAAACATATTTATATAACTCATCTTATCTTCCGTAGATAATATTTCATCATAATATACATCGCATAATAAAAAGAACATGTTGCCGCCATGGGCAAACCACATAAAATGTACGCAGTAGCCAAGGTGTTAAATAAGACTAAAAAAAGCTTTTAGTTTTTTATGGAGATTTGCAATGTGCTGTGTGCTGCTTATTGTAGAGCAGGAAATGGCAAACTCTTTTTTTTTTTTTTTTTTTTTTTTTTTTTTTTCCCCTCCTGTTTGCTGATTGAATAGTTCACTAAATGGCTCCACAACATAAAAAATATGTTAAGTGTCCAAAACTCTATAGCATCTCATTAGAAGTGGTGAACGAAAATGAATGAATAAAATAATAAATGTCCAATTAAAATAAAATAAAATATAAAAAGAAAAACTAAAATATTAGTTAATTAAATTAGTGATAATTAGGTAAAAATTAAAATAATAGCAGAGATGAAAACTGAGCAGTTTAATAACAAGTTTGAAAAATGTAGTGTGGGCCAGCTTATGACCTCTCCTGGAATTGGCAAAATAACAATGAGCTTCAGGTAAACTATCACTTCTTGCTGATTGTTTGTAAATAAAATTTAATTTCTTTAAAAACAGTATGTCTTAATGTTATTTATAAACACTACTCATTTTTTGTTATTCTATTCTCCCATACAGTATACAATGATAACAGTACTTATTAATCTTTCTGTCATATAATTTTTTTTTTAGTTTTCTCTGGGAAAGTGAGACATTCAATATCTAATATTAATATCAATTATATTAATTACTATAACCAAAATGCCATAAATATAAGTGTTAGCTTCTTACACATTTTATTTTTTACCTTTAAAACTAACATTACTCTGAAAGTATGTGTGTTGGTATTATAATTATAAAAGTTGTATTGCTAAAATGCATTCACATTATAAAAAGAAAGAATAACCAGTCTTGAAAAGCCTAAAGTCAGAGATAAAACATCCAGAGAACTCCTGTCCATCATTGACATATATCCTTCAGGACTCTGAAATTCAAGATTCTCTATTTCAATCTTCATCAGATTTTAAACTGGAGGAACATTATTTTCCTTTAGAAGATTGTTACTTTTTACTGCAATATGGACACAGGTACACCTCGTCTGTTCATTCCTGAATCTTTTCCCTCTAACATTTTTCAGCAGATTCACTTTCTTTTTATGCCGGTATTTAAGCCTCAACAAAACTAATCACTAAGCGATACTTTTGGTCTGATATGACAAAATTTATTAAAACCACAGTTCAAGCTTGTCTACAATGCCAATGTTCTAAAATTCATGGACATTCAAAACCACCTTTGGATATCACTCGCAATGAATGACAGAAAAATTACTTGTTAAAAGTGACAATCGGGACAAAGTTATGATTGAATGGGTCGGACAGCGTCACAGCAAGGGCGTGCCATTGACGGTTCCGATGCTAATGGCTCAAGTCAAAATATTTCATGAAGAAATGAACTTAAAAATTGGGTGCACATATTTGACAGGTTCGAACCTGTCAAATATGTGCAGTTAAATTTAAAAATTGCCATGGTAAAAGGTAAAAATTTCAGATGGAAAAGCTTCAACTTAAGCTGAAATATTTGCAGATGAATTCGGTGAACTCATTAACAGTGAAAGATTATTGCCTGAAATTTTTAATGCTGATAAAATTGGTCTTTTCTGGCTATGTATACTGCAAAATACCTTGGTAACCTCTATATAAAAGACTTTAATTGGTGTCAAAGATCCCAAAGCGAGATTAACAATTTTAGCATGCGCAAATGCAGCAGAAAGGCACAAGGGTAAACTTTTCATAATCAAGAAATATTCATAATCTTGTGCATTTAAAGGAGTAAAAATTGTCCCCGTAATATATCATACAAATAAAACAGCATGGGTGACACAAGCATTAATGAA